ACATCGAGATCATTCCTGAATACAATCTCTGCCCATCCCTTGTGAACTCCAGTGGCTACAAAAGTGCCTTTAACTGCATTATCTCTAATTGTCTCGACAGGAAATTCATCAAGTATATAAACACCAGAACCATTGAAGAAGAAGTCTGCAAGCTTCAATGGAATTTCTGGAGTAAAGTAGGAGACGTTGTTGACAGTGAAGCGGAGACTGTCGTTTATAATTGCATTGGATGAATGGAGAATGAATGTTTGGGTGATGTTCACGTTTGATACATTGAAAGAGCCTTGTGGATTTGGCCTTGCAGCTCCTGTAGTCAGATTCCACCTATTTAAGAAATTATTAGACTTACTAGTACTGTAAAAAAAGTTAACAACAACAACATCATCATCATCATTATAAGAAAAGTTAACATCAACAACATCATCATCATCATTATCATCATCATCCTCATCATTATCATCATTATCATCATCATCATCAATTCGGCTTCCATAGCATGGCATAAGTCTCTAAAAAATGATATTGACAAATATAAGGATCAGTTCTAAGTATCATATATGTATGCAAAATTTATTGCAATTTTGTTTAGTGTATGAATACATCTTTCCGTTAGTCTTGTCTAAATAAGGATAACTATAAAATGGTCCATGTCCACTGAATAGTTAGTGAACTAAGGGAGGACCAACGATCAATGCATTGACCTCTAACTCTGTCTTTCACAAATTCCAGGATAGACAATGCCCAATATACGAAATATCTAGAAAACATGAACAAGTGAATAATTTAAGGATAGACCATGCTCAAATTTAAGGATCACCACTAAGTATCATATGCATATTGGTGCATGCAAAATTTGTGTGTTGCAAAGTTTGTGGATGAATCTAAGTCTTTCCGTTAGTCTTGTCTAACATAAGGATAAGTATCAAACAGGATAACTACCAAATGGTTCATGTCTGCCAAATAGTTAGTGAGCTTAGGGAGAACCCAAGGATCAAGCCATTGGTCTTTAACTCTGTTGTGCACAAATTCAAGGGTAGACAATGCTCACTATGCCAAGTACCCAGAAAACATGTACCAATGAATAATTTCTCCTAAAAGATGTCAGCATGTCATCCAGAAAACCAGGACACAAACATAAGAAATAGATATAACACTTGCAAATATGGTGATACAACAGATCCCAAAAAACTAAGATAAATCTTCAATTTAATACTCTACCAAGTACCAAATAATAATAATCCTTCACAAGTTTGGAAAGAGAATATGTAATCTTTGAATAGTATAGGAGAAGTTCATGCTAGGCCACATACCTGATGGACCTCGCTTGACCAATAGAAAACTCGCGATCTAACATCAACATCAGAGCTCATATACTTCAGTACTGCAACTCCATTGAGCGAAGGTAATCCACTTGTATCCATTTGTGTTGGTGTAGCAACAACATAATAACTTGATGTTTGCTGATCTGCCGTAACAAGGACTGAATAAGACTGACTAACATGAACATCAAGGGAATCCAACTCCATTTGGCTAGTGTACGATCCTTCAGTCTCCACCAAAACCATTTTATGATTTTGAATTCTGAAATTGAAGCTTACTGATGTTCCGACATTGGATATCCTTAATAGATATGTTTTTCCTGCAGATAAAGACATTGGATATCCTTAATTAAGTACTGAGGTAAAATTTCAGAAAGCCCCCATCAACTTTGGATTGCTCTGCATAAAACCCCCTGAACTTTATAAATCAGAGAAAACCCGTTGAACTTTCGAAATCTACTCAATCTCCTGAAGTATTGCAAAAAATCTCATAAAATATATTTAACCTATAGAGTAAACAGTCTAAAATTGTGACCAATCTGCCATGTCTAGTTTCCTCACATGAATAACAAAAATTCTTCATCGCGAATTTTTGTTTGTCGTGATTCAAGCTTATTACTCTATAACATCTTTTGTAAAATGTTCTGATAATTCAAAGGGTTTGATAGAATTTCAAAATTTTACAAGGTTTTCATCAGATTTATAAGTTGTTGTCTTGGGGGTGGGATGGTAACTGTGAAATTTACCCAATAAT